CGATATCTCTTACTGTTACATCCCCGGGCAACGCCGAGCTCTACTGCTAGTTTTTGATAAAATCCAAAGAAGAATCTGCAATGTTATTCGTCCTGATCTGGCATCCCAGCTTCAGTCACTCTCCCATCGCCGTAACGTAGCTTCCCTGTGCCTTGTCAATAAATACTTTCGTGGTAATTGTTCTGATGAACTCTCCTCTATGGTACCTAGATTTTATGAATTTATGAGTACTACTAGATTAGCGACATCTCATCATTAGATGTAACCGTAAGTTCTTTGCTAACAGTTTCTTTTCTCGCACTTTTTACTAGTGGAAATGTTTCTCGACCTCTTCCTTTCCAGTCAAATTTGATCTTCAAAGAATTTAAACGTAACGTCAATCGTTATCTTCCTAGTGGCTTTATTGCCTTACTTAGGGTAAAATGATTAAGAAAAACGTAACTAAATCATGAATTAAGCCTTCGAATATTCAAAATAATAAAACAAGGGTGTTTGAAATTACTAAGCTCTAATGTTAACTTCTTAAATCGGTGCTGTACGGCGCATGTGCAACTAGGTTGAATTTCAGGTTTCTCTCTGTTTGCGCCATTTGCTGCCTCTAATACAGCCTTTTGCCTTGTCGTGAAGCAAACTGTTCTCCTTTCAAAATTTATTCTGTAGATGAGTTGTTGACTCTTCATAAAATTCCTCTGCTTTCATACGTATGAAAATACAAGGTGCTGTGCGTAAATTGTCGCCATTTTATATTTTTAATTTCGCGCATGCGCGCTGTTTGCTCGGAGACCCTATGTCTGGCAACAGGACTCTACACCATGCCACACAAGAAGAAGAACCCAGTTATGGCTGTCAGGCAATTTCTCCGACCACATCACCCCTTACACCTAGCCACCTAATTCACCAGACCGCGACACCTTGATTATTATGTGTGGGGCACAGTTGAGTGAGAGACCAACAAAACTCCTTGTAACACCAAAGATGAACAGAAAGCAAGGGTTACGACAGCATTCACCAACTCAAACAAAGCGACTGTCCAGAAGAGTTGCAGGAGATTCCGAAGTCGTCTGTAGACTGTGGTTGATGCCGATGGCGATTTTTTTTAATGAATTTACTCTTTAGTATTTCAAGATATTTTTATGTAATTTTGGTAAATATATCTGTTAAAATGTCAATGTTATTTTCATTTACCCGTAATTTAGACGACAATATATCTATCGCACCCTGTATAGACTGGCTCCGTAACCCTCTACTGATAAGTATTCTAGCACTGAACATAGACGTAATACTCATGACTTATGCACGCTAAACCTTTCTAAAACAGAAACCTTAACCTGAAATTGGTATGAGAGTAGTGATGGCATTTATCTTGAATCTATCTCAAACGTTCTATGAATTTATAAATTCCAGACAGTTCAAATATATGGCTGTAGGGATCATTTACGTTAAATTTAGCATATCAGTTAAGGAATTTGAACACACAATAGGTTGAGCTATGGCTAATTTTGTCTAGTATAGTCAAATACTGCAAAACCAAAATATTAACCAGAAATATACTTAAATACTCTAGGATGGAGATGCTCATATGGATGTCATGCATGCTATTCATCTTGTTTAGAAATGTATAAATTATGATTTATATATAACCCTTTTTTAAGATGAAGGGTTAAAAAATGGCTTCACGTAAATGAAGACTCGAATCATGTTCTTAAATAGCCTCGTCAGAATTAGACTCCCATATATCATAGATAACGTCCAACTCGTTCAGAAATGTCTAAACCCTCATCTATATACAACCGTTTTCTTAGATCCCCGATTAAAAATACCCTCAAGCAAATGAATCCTTTAGTCGTTAAAGAATAAAATACTTCATTAGACATTTTAGATTAGTTTAGTTACCTCCACCAAAATCGTGATAAAATTTAAATTAATGTTTGAATGAAAGCTTTAAGAAAGTCTTTTATGCTTTTTTTTTTTTAGTTTTAACTGAAAGTTAATGGATTATATTTACTATTTCCAATAAGCGAAATTATCTGGAGTATTTAAAACAGAAATTATATTGATTGGAATTAATTTTCATTTTTTTGTTGCTAAAATAACTGATTAGCATCCTTTTTTAGTCGTCTTTTATCGCAATGTAATGTTCTTTATTAGAAATAAAACATATTTTCCTGAAACTTCATTTCAGTAATAATTTGAAGCATAAATAATCCGATTTGAAAAAAAAAAAAACAATTATTTATTTTGAATTTAACATGCCGCAAAAATTAATTTTTTATGTAAACAATAGTAGTCATTTAACCGATAGCAGCCATTTTTACGTCTTTGTCGAGGTGATGACTAATAGAGAGTTGTCATACAGGGACTTTATTTGTAAAATAAGAAAATCACGTGAGTGTTTTTTTTTAATATAATTTTTAAGTACTCAGTAATCTTAAAGATTTAAGAAAATATTCTCCATAACCTAATGTTAAATTTTAGAAATTCCGGCTTTAAATTTAACATAGTTACCGCTTTTATTTTCTGTTAATGTCGTGGATGGTCTACTGTACTTAAAAAAAATCGGTACGTTTATACACTAATAAAAAAATTAAAAAATTCTTTTAAAAATCTTGATGTGTAATGATTTGTATTAAGCTTTTCAATTTTTGATTAGTAAATATAGTTTTCACTTAATAACAATATCACCTAATATGATCAAAGTAATGCAGAAATTTAAAAGGTTTGAAACTTTATAAATTATTATAATTAAAATAATAAATGGAAACCATTTTTGTAAAAATTCACTATTCATCGAAAAAATTGTTTTCTTAAGACAATAAATGATATTTTATTTATGAAAGTAATTAAAAGATTTTCTAATTAAATAATGTCATAGTTTTATTGCAATTTTTATTTTAAGATTTGAAGCAGATTTTCAGGAAATGAGTAAGTGTTTGAAAAAAAAAAAAAATTTACATTCTCCAGGGAAACATATCTGGAGAATGTAAATTATATTTTCTTCCACACCATTGGAATGTATATTATATATTCTTCCACGTCATATTCCTCATGTCTCCGACTGAGCTCTGAACTGTTATTCACTAATTAAAAAAATAATAAAAATGGTGCGAACAAAATTTAATTTCTCGAAATTTCATAAAATTAAGTAAGTGGGGGTAACAGCTTTAAAAAATATTTTCATGAAGATTTTCAAAACAGAATATTTAAAATATAATTTCATTCATTTGTGAATAAGTTCTGAAAATTCATTGAAGTCCGACAATTATTTGATTTTTGCAATAATTTCCAAATAAACTTTTTTTTTTTTTCCGGACCGGAAAAATGACGCTAAAATTCCCATAGTAATCATTGGCCCGCCGCTGACGTAAAAAAAAAAAAAATAGATTTTAACCAAAATTTTGAACATCCTAGAAAGGTTTAAAAAAAATTAATGAAATAATAAAAAAAACAATTTAGTCTTTCCTCTTAATAATAACATAAACATTTTGACGATAAAACTTTGTTTTCGTCAAGTTTGGGGCCTTTTTTTTCATCCTGCTATGCTCTTATGTAGCGAAAAAGTAGTGGTACCTATATTAGTTCTACATAATTACAAAGGTCTTTACCAAATAAAAAAAAAAAAAACAAACAAAAAAACAGATCACCTGAACACTTCCAGTAGAAAAAATAAAAACGGTTAACATAGTTAATTAGATAGAAAAATAATGATAAAATCAAGCTT